TCTCTCTCTCTCTCTCTATTTTTTTTTCTTTCCTATCTTTTCTGCACCCAAGGCCAAAATCTCTCGCAGTCAACCTCAGCTGCTGCAGTCGTAACTAGAACTGCGCAGCAACACTTGAAGTAAAGCTATAGGAAGCCACTGGCTGGCACTGTATGGGGAAATAATTGAACAGGGCTCACTGTCAGTAATTGTTATGTCTCTCACCTTCACAGAGGCGAGTCCAGTGCAGCAGTTTCACTACTTTTTCCCCCTCTTTCGCTCCGTTCGGTGTTTTGCTGCCTTCATGAAAACATAATTGCCGCTCATCGGAATAGGTTTTTAATTTTTTCTTTATTTAACAGATGACGGCCTTTAGGGTCACGGTGATGTTTTATTTCTCTCTGCTCTCCTCCGCCGTGTTAATGGTTGTAAGTGTTGACATGATTTGCTTCAGAATCACATCAGGCGAGATGGTGCGAGATGCTCTGTGTGATTGGAAGAGAAGAAAAAAGAGACAATGGCTGCTTTTTTAAAAACACAGTTGGGGGCTCTGACTTTGGATTCGGGTGAACGTTAAGCGGACGATTAATTGTTGTTTGAGATTTTGTTTTGTGTGTGCTGTGTTTGTCACAGGGACTACAATAACATGAATGCTAATTGGCTTCTTTTTATTAATTCTGTTGCCAAGAGAGAGAGAGAGAGAAATCCAAATTATAATGATGAAAGATTTTGAGACTCGAGGGGCTGACATAAAGAGTCTTTGATTGATCGGTTTGTTAAAATGTTGTAACGAGAGCTGAAACGATCAATCCACACTCACTTTTGATGAACAATTAATCGTTTATCCATCAAAAAAATGCCAAATATTACACTGGTTCCAGCTTCTCTAATGTGAATATTAGCTGCATTTCTTCGGCTTACGTCGAATATCTTTTAGGTTTCTGACTGTAAGTCGGACAAAACAAAGCACTTTTGGAAATATGTTGGAATATTTTTTACTATTTTCTCACATTTTATGGACCAAAGATCAAGACAACAATCTGCAGATGAGCCGATAATGTAAATAATTATCAGCTGCAGCCATTGCATATTACACAACTTACTGTTAGCACTGTAAAATGTTACACAGACCTTTAGTTGTACCCCAATATTGATAGAAAAAACCCCACCAACAGATGCCAAGTAACACTGAATTTGCTGTTAATTATTCATGACATTTGCCAAGTTTTATTAATTTTTTTCCCCAGAATAAAAGTAGCAATCTCACGCTGTCAGTGCCAAGAGACACACTGCTGTTATTAATTTAGACTAGTAAGCACAAACTAATCATTTATATTTAGTGAGCATCAGAATATTAAATATATCCGCACACACTGGTGAAATCCTGCAGCTCGGCTCCTCTCGGTCAGTGCGGGAAACATTCGGTTCGATAAACTGCTGCGTTCTCTTTGTCCGCCTCTAATTGTCTTTATTTTGGAGTGAGCAGCAGAACTTATGTGGAACGTATATAAAGTAAAAAGCTCGCTTCCCTTTAACAGCCTTGATCTTTTCATTGATCTCCTGGGTAATAAACTGCTCTTTTGTAATTAAGAAACCACACTCACGAGCAGAAGCCCGCTTTGAAGACAGCAGTACTAACAACCAGCTCCTCAAAGTGCTGATGGTGGAGCTTTACCAGAGTTCTGTGAGCGCTCTCTCCCCTCTCCCCCCCACGAACCCACCCCGGTCTTCATCACTTGAAAACAGACGGTCAGCACGTTGGCATCCTAATAAATTTCATGTGTGCTTGCGCAGTAATCTCTGCCATCCCTCTGGTCCCAGCGGCAGGCCAGGATGCAGAGATAGAGATCGTGACGTTGTCTGACCCCTCTGCGCTCGCCCCCTCTGACGTGTCGGCCATCGCCCTGGATTTCAAGGTCCTCCACCCGGTGGTGATCACCAGGCTGGGGGTGTTTCCCAGCGGGACCCGGCCTGAGCTTCAGAGCAATGTGACGGTGAAGCTTCTCCAGTTGGACCAGGAGGTAACCGAACATCTGAGCGTAGTGTGATCAGTAGATACTCTGCCTGTGCTGTTTACTGCTTCTACAGACACAAACTGGAAGTCACTTTTTAAGATAACAGTCTGTAGGATATAGTGAAGATGATGGGTACGTTTGCACATGAATTCTCGATGAATGAAAGCTTGTGGTTCTTACAGGAAGCTGTGGTCACTGCTCGCTTCAGTGCCATCAGCACCGGGACCCTGGTGAACGGGGTGTGGTACAAACCAGTGGAGCAGTTCATCTTGCCCAAGGTCAGTTCTTTCACCTCCACTCAGGGCCAGAGAGAAACATAAAGAAAGTCTCTGACATGTCTTAAATATTTGTATTATTTATGAATCATAGTGTCTGCAAAAAACATAAAGTGAACTGTAACTAATATGAGTGTATCTATAATATTTCCTATAATTATTACCAGATTACTGTACATAATTATTTCCAAAAAATCCTCCCAGGAAATTACGTAATTATTTCCCAACAGAATATAAAATAATAAATGTAATTTCTTCTGCACAATGCAATTAAAGTGCAATTTAACATAAGGTTGAAAGTTTTAAGCTTGTTTCTAAGAATCCAACGATAATATCGCGAGACAGTTAAACTAAAATATGTGAAGATTCAAATCAGTGAGATGAAAATGAATCGTGATACTCTTTTTAAACAGCAGAGCGCACTGTCTACTGTTGACCTTGTTCAACGTCCTACGTCAAACACTTGAGTAGCTTTATCAAGGCCAGTTTCACTTTTACAAAGAAACGTGAAACTGACAGTTGCACAGTTTATTTCCTACCTCAGAAATAAAAAAGGATTCTATAAATCGAGAAAGATATAAGAGAAACATATTGTGAACCCAGTGTCATGACTTGTATCAAATTGTGAGTTAAGTGTATCCTTACATCCCGACTTGTTTTAGAAACGTTGCAGCTCTCACCACACCAAAGTCATTATAGTTCATTACAACTTAAAACTAAAACTAGGTGTGAAAGAACATTTTAGATGATGAATTCATATCTTTCCCAAGACAAATGTGCTGTTAAGATCCTCTGAGATTTATTCTTCTCTCGTTTAGGGCTGCACGATATGGTAAAAACATGATATTGCAATTATTTTGATAGATATTGTAATTTTCATACGATTCACAAATAGTGTTATTTTGATTAA